TATCATGTATTACTTTTTGTTTTATTGATGTGTTTTTAATTTTTTTTTTTCGTTATGCGTTCATGTTTTACTTTTTTGTTTGAGTTATTGTATACTGATGCGTTTAAATTTTATAATTTTCATTTAGTTACGTATCCTGGAGTATGGGAAATCCCGTTGATTACATTGCAATGCGACGAATCAGCTACCACGTTTGCTACAATGCTCGATGAATGTACAAACTTAGAAACTGAAGAAAGCACGTATAACATGTTAATGACCAACTTTAAGCTTCACTACGAGGATAATAAGCAACCTTTTCCCATGTTCGGCCATTCGACTTGGTTCGATAATGCATCTTACCGCAAAGATGGTATGTTCATTACAAATTATTGATTTTTAGATTTATAATGAATAGAAACGTTTACGTTTTCGTGCAATTTCATTTTTCATTTATTTAAGAAAACATTTTCTTTTGTTTTAGCTGTCATAAGGTTCATGAACGATGTTCGAAAGTTTAGCGACGTTTACTTTGTCACTGCCCAACAGGCAATTGAATGGATAAAGTCGCCGGCCGGTCTCGATAAAAAGCCGTTTTCGTGTAACCAATAATATTTTAGAGCATTGCAAGATTTTTTTAACAAGTTTTATATGTAAATAATACTTCAATAATTGTTTTCATCACTACAAATTTTTTTGTTATTTTATATCCGCGCACTTTTGGTTTTGTGTTTCAACTTTTGGGGGAGAGAGAAAGTTGTTATGTGTTTGTATGTTTCAATATGAATTTGTATGTTTAAGAAAAACAAAGCAATCGCGTTTACGCAAGGTCCCCTCACGCTTTATAATATAAAATAGCCTGAGTTAGTTTACGAAAAATATCGCTTTAATTCAAAATGATTATTGCAAGATTGAATTTGAATGCAATTTGTTCCATAAATTTACTTAATATGATATTCCACTTTAATCATTTTGATTTAAAAAGACGTTTTCATATATAAGTTGGAACCATTTCTCACATCACTTTTTATATTAGCCCCTGTGGACTTTTAGTTAACAAACTGATTTACTCATTGGGTATCTAGAAAGTTATAGTTGCAGGTATAAAAAATATTTTGTATCACTTTCGTATTTATTGCGTTATTTAAAACAATACAACTCATATGAATGGTATACGAAAATAAAAATAGTTAAAAAATGATTTAAAACACATGTTTTTCAAATAAACAAACAAAAAACTTTGAAGCAAATTAAAAACTGTGATTTTTCATCAATGCATAGTTGCTATATTAGTTTTTGAAACCTAACCTTTGGATTGCTAATATAGAAAAACCATTTAATTGCGATTTTTGAACACTATTGCTTTTATAGTCTTTTACAAGGTTTAAAGTGCGAAACGAGTTTTCTTCAAAATAAACCATTACAGGAAGTGCGAAAAACGATTGAAATATGAAAACAGCATATATATATATATATATATATATATATATATATATATATATATATATATATATATATATATATATATATATATATATATGTATATATATATATGTATATATATATATATATATATATATATATATATTATATATATATATTATATATATATATTATATATATATATTATATATATATATTATATATATTCATTATATATATATATATGTTATATATATATATATTATATATATATATATTTATATATATATGTATATATATATATATATATATATATATATATATATATATATTATATATATATATATATATATATATATATATATATATATATATATATATATATATATATATATATATATATATATATATATATATATATATAATATATATATATATATATATATATATATATATATATATATATATATATATATATATATATATATATATTATATATATATATATATATATATATATATATATATATATATATATATATATATATATATATATATATATATATATATATATATATATATAATTGCAATGATTGGAGCCTGGAAACAAAAAAGCCCTAAAATTATAGCTACATCTACCCCAAACGTGAGAGCAGCAAGTTGATAAAATAATTTTTTCACTATTCTTAACTAATATTATATTTATAGACAAATTTTAAAATTCACACAAAAACCTTTTAGCGTTCAAAAACTATGCCCATAAAAAGTTTGAACCCCCTCAATTATAGAGGGTTGCAAATTTTATAAGGTAATAATTGTTGAACGCTAAGAGATTATTGCTTGTGTTTTAAAATTTATCGATGAATATATACTTGGTTGAGAATAGAAGAAAAATTATTTTATCAACTTGTTGCTCTCACGTTTGGCGCAAGTGTAGCTAAAATTTTAGGGTTTTTTTTTTTTTATGTAATTATATTTGGTTATTACTTAGTTCACATAATCTTTTACAACTTGTAGTTTTTTCAATTCGTCTTTTTTTAAGTGAATGAAATTAGAAATTGTTCACTTAAATTAGTGAAATACTGCTATTTTAACTTTTTAAATTCTTTTATTATACCTTCGTCTTTTAAAGTCGATAATCTTCGTGGATATCTATAGTGTTTTTCTTACTTAGTTTTCACGGCTTTTAGGTAACTGGCATGGATTAGTATTATGCCAATTTGAAACATATCTTCTCTTGAAGAAAAATGATCATTTTTTATCATTTTATCAAAACGGTGTTTCATTTTCGGCTAGAAACTCATGGCTTTTATTTTAGCATTCCAATTTCTTGCAATTTCTGCAGCTTCGCTTTTTTTTTTTTATTTGAGTTTCATCTTACTAAATTTATGCCTAATTTTAGCCTTTGTTATAAGACAAATTGTCTTTATCGATATTTAAATTACCTTAAACGTTTTCTGCATTTTATTAAATGTTTTTTTTTTCTTTTGCAAATAAAAATACCACTCATCACGTTTGCTCCATCGTACCCTTGACGAATATGCTTTTTAGTTAGCATCTTCATTTTTAATTTATACAAGATTTTTATTTTTTGTTCCGACTTCAGCAAGTTTTGTTTGATGAAAAAAGTTATTAAAAAGTTTCTATAATTTTAAACACTTGAGGTTCTAACCGGATACTTTTTAAAAATATATAAATGTCTAATCATTGCACTTACTTAGTCAATGCTTTTTGAATCGCCACAAACGAATTACTATATTATGCTAACTTTAATGTAGTATCAAAAAAATGCATTTCTTTTCGACAACAACGCTCCTTTGAGCGTTTGACTAGTTTCTTATTTTCCCGTCGAATTTTAGGAATAGTTTAGCTTGATGTTTTGTAAAAAGATGAATTTTCAACTTAATGGAAGAACTTTGCTAACCACACAGCCAATTACGCTATTGACTTTTAAGTGCGATAATGAACCAACATGCTTTACAGTAAGCTACATGCATAGTTTTTGATTAGTTTAATCAAGATTGTAAAACTGGATTATGTTTAGTAATCCATGCTAAATATATTGCAGAAAAGCGACAAGTATTCTGTGCCAGATCTTTGGGAATCGGTTCTACTGATATTTTTATTGTATCGTCACCATCAACCATCTAAATTTATCTGTTAAAATTCTGTTCGTTTTTACATAAACAACACAAATCTGTATTTCTGAATTCTGAGTTTATATTCTATACAAACTATATTATTTCCTATATTCGTTTAGGAAAAGCGATTTTTGTATTTTTAACAAAATTCGCATATAGCATAACACAACTGCATAACACAATCTTGTGTTATGCAGTTGTGGCGCAATCGTCAGAGTTTTGGTTTAGTGCCAAGAAGTCTTAATTTTGACGTTGGCTATGAATGTGTCATGAATATGTATTTGTATGAATGCTTTAACTATCTTTTTTCAGATTGCTTGGTGACATAAGTTCAAGATAATGTTTGAAGGTGCAACTAATAATATACAAAAACTTGCTGCAATCGCCTTTCAATACAGTATGCCTTTATCAACATTGCAGTGTTAAATTAAAATATGGGTAAGGTTATAAACTGTTGGCATTCACTCGAATAACTTCATGTTTGTTTTTGTACACATAAAACGAATGAACAAAATTAATATTCAAGATGTTGCTACATTATTTGTTTAAATAAACAAATCAAATATTCCGGCAAATGCAATTGTTGTTGTAACGTTTTTTAATACTACGTATGGCACAAGAGGTCTTTTATAAAGTAGGTACGTAGGAATGGAGTAGAGGATGGGTGGCGTTGTTACTCAAAAGTGTACGGAAACGTACAAGGGAGGGAGTGTTAAAGAAATCGAGTACGTATGCTTTTTGACAATCTCTCGTTCCTTTTTTCTCCTAAAACTTAATTTCATTTTTTTGAAAAAAAATTTTTACGTGATTTGAAAACAATATTATGTTATGTATGCCGAATAGGGTAAAGTTTGTCTTCTAAAACTAGCTTTTATTTTTAATAGTATAAGGCATTGTGGGATTGATATTCAGAAAATTATTGCACGGAAACAATAGAATTTCTTAAGAATGCAAGTGGTTGTAAGGCGGATTTCCATATACAAGAACAGAACGGAAAAGGAAACTATCCAATCATACATGAAAATTGCGCTTCTGAAATTTTTAAATTACATGAATTGATGATTCTCTTTACCTTTCCGTTATGCGGAAAATTTTCTGCAAGTGGTAATCCACCTGTAGGATTTATATTCGTACAAACAAACCATTCGACGTCATCAAAACGTACGCTATTAAAAAAAAGTTTTTTTGTTTTTAAAGTTTTGAAAAAGGTGAGGAGGGATTGTTGAAAGCTTTAGTTGCGTACAGAGTCCTAAATCAGTAATTTTACTGCGTACGTACTTTAAGGATGCCCCTTAAGATAAAATGTACAATTGCCACCTAAAATATACCTATAAAGCTGTTAAATTATTTTGCATAGAAAGTTTAAAATTGTGTTGTATGCTTTTATTTTTATTGTAACGATAAAATAGTATAAATCGCGAGTAGCAATTCTCGCTATACTACTCAATACACCCGCTTTATATTATTTGTTAAAACTCGCTAAAAGCGACTTAAAAAAAATATTATTAAGCGCGGTGTTTCGATTTTTGTTTTGGTTACCAGAAATATGTTAGACATTAAAAGACCAAAAAACTATCATGGCAAAACAATTATTTGTGGTAATTTTTGTTAATAAAAATAGTTTTTTATATTGGAAATTTTAGTTGATCAAATTTATTTAAGTTATATTTATTGAATTGGATTGTTTTTTAGGGGACTCAACTGTTGGGAAGACAGCTATAAGCCAGCTCCTGTGCTCTGATGGTTTGCAATTTCCAAAATCGTATTTAATGGTACGCGTGAATAATATATTTTTAATTGCATTTTTGGCGCAATATTACTTGTTTAATTTTTTTATTGTTTTTTGTTTTTTTACATTTTATGTTTAGACTACAGCAGTTGAATTGGTTGTAAAGACTGTTGTGATTCCCAATACTGAGGATACAGTTGAAATGTTATTGTATGATACACCTGGAAAAGATATTTTTAAAGACTTTGTGCAAATGCATGTATGGTTTTTAAAGCTAATAGTTTTTACTATTATTTACTAACTATTGATTTTGTTGTGCAGAGTTGGATCAAACTCCTAAGTTATAAACTAACAATCTGAATTCATAGAATAAATTTTATTTTTCTTGAATTTTTTTAAGATAACATGGTTTTAACTATACTATTACTTAAAAGTTGAAAACAAGAACTACTTAAAAACTTTATTTAAGTTTTTTAGTCAAAACTACTAAAAATCTTTTTTTTAAAAAAATTTGACAACAATGAGGAAAAAAAAATAAATGATAAAAATAGTATATAACTTAAGAGTTTAAATGGTACAAATTCCCTCTCTCAACTTTCATTCCCCTTCCCACCTATAATAGGTGGGAAGGGGAATAAAAGTTTAGAGAGTTTAATACCAGTTTTAATAGGTCCTATTAAAACTGGTATTAAACACCAGAGGATAAGTAAATTTATTTATAATGTGTCAAAGCTGAATTTAATGTTGATAATGTGTTGACCTGTAAAATGCTAAATCTTCCTTAAATAATTGAGGTCAAATATTGGGACACAATCAACAAAAGCAGGCAATGTGGAGCAATTGCTTTTCAAACTTAATTTTTTCAGTATGGTTTTAAGGGCATTTCTAGAGTATATATATATATATATATATATATATATATATATATATATATATATATATATATATATATATATATATATATATATATATATATATATGTGGTAGTGGTGTAGTGGTAAAACACTCGCTTCATAAGCGAGAGGTTCCGAGTTCGATCCCCACCACATCCCTGGTAGTACCATGCTCAACTTGTTTCTCCGCACAGCGGCCTTGTTCGTCAAGGTTCATGTTTCAGAGTTATAGAGTTGAGAGAGGGTTATAACCACTATTAAGTAGCCTCCTTGTCTGTAGTGGCCTTCTCAGCCTTGAGGAGGTGAATAACAATATATATATATATATATATATATATATATATATATATATATATATATATATCAACCTTCAGAATTAGGAAAAATGAGGTCGGCAATAATTTGCCGACCTCAATCTTTCCTTAAATTTTTTCCAACCTCAAACACTTTCAGGTTGGCATTGCCGAAATATATATATATATATATATATATATATATATATATATATATATATATATATATATATATATATATATATATATATATATATATATATATATATATATATATATATAGATCTAAATCTCAAGTTATATTTGTGTGTGAGACTTGGTGGTCAGTATTGTCAAATACTAATATTTTGCTTGGTTATAATCTATTTAGAAAAGATTGTCAATTTAGTTGTTGTTGTTATGGTGTTTGTATTTATGTGCAAGAGAATATTAGATCTTATGAAATAAATGAAAAACATCTAATAAATGAAAAAATTGAGCAAGTATGGTGTTTGATTGATGTTGGTAAGAGTGAATTTCATGTGGTTATATGTACCAGACATGTCTTTGTAAAAATGATAAATGTGTTGACATCATAAAATCATTAAAACAGGCATATTTACTCAAACAAAATAAGAAATGCACTGTTCTTTTAATATGTGGAGATTTTTACTAAGTGAAATTTCAAATGAGAGTGACACAACAGCAAGAATGTTTATTGAATCTTTACATGATTGTTATCTACATCAAAATGTTATCAGTCTTTGTTATTAAGTTAAGTTTAATATACCTAGTGGTACCAATTGAAGTGCGAAATTTTAATTCAGTAAAAAAATTTAGGAGAACATGTTTTTAATGCAAGAACAAATGTAATATATACATATTATATGCATGTTATGTTTTAGTTAAAATGCTAAAGTACACATTAATAAAGAGAGTCCTCGAAATAACCCCCTTTAGCCCGTATGCACGCCTCCAGTCTTGGGCGCCATTTCTCGATTGATTTACGCACGGTATCCATGAATAAATCCCATTCTCTGAGAAGTGATTGCTTGAGGGCATAAGGTTTTTTGACAGAACCACTATCATTATATCGCTTAATAGTACGATAGACAAAATCCTTTGATATTCCTTTATGCTACAGCATTTTGAAAATCTGATACGGTTTTCTCTTCCCGTCTAATAATGCTATAACTGCACACCCATTTCCTTCCATACTATCCATTATAAAAAAATCTACAAATAAACACACAAATAAATTAATAAATTCCAGGAATCTATTCAAACAATACAAATAAATGAGGGAACTATATAAAAAGCACATGCCTGTTAACATGACAAGTTTAAACAAACTTCGCACTTCAATTGGTACTGCAGGGTAGATAATGCATTTTAGACCTTATTTTAACTGATAATAGCAACTAAGATTATATTTTGGAGCATATTCTGACATTAGGTGTCATTAAACATGGACATCGTATTTTGAAATTTTATTTTGGTTTTGAAAACAGCTCTAATTTAATAATAACACAACAAAAAATAAGAAGAAAACTATAAAGGCTTAGACTTGTATTTTAAAAAGCATAAACCATATACAAGATGTAAGTACATTTGAAGGGCTTGACATTAATGAATGTTACTAATAGTAGTTAAGAAAATATGAAATAGGTTGTGAAAAACATATTTTGACTTTAACTATAAATAAAAAAATAGAAGAATAACTTGCCTTGGATGATAAGTGAACTTAGAAGTATGTGTAAAGAAAAAAGATATGTTGGTTTAAAAACAGAAAGTCAGGTTTTAGGTCTCGTAGCAGTCAATTACAAAATTTTTTAACAAAAAGTTAAAAAAGAATATAAAAAAACTGAAGTAGAATACAGTTGCAGTTTTGAAAGCAACTTGTCTCTTAATTCAAAAAACCATCCTAAAAGTGTCTATGCGTATATGAATAGAAAAACTAAAGATTAGAAAATGAATAAAAAAATTAAAGATTCAGTTAAAGCCATTAAGCTACATAATGGTGTTATAACTACTGATAATTAAAATTATTTTTTGCTTTGCTTTTTATACAAGATGATTCATTAGAGACAGTTTTGGGAAAATAATTTTTAACAAGATGTCTTGTTTTAGTTTCAGTATTTATAATATTCAGAAAGATCTGAATAATATAAATACACACAAATCAGTTGGTCCTGATAATGTTTTCCCAAAAGTTTTAAAGGAATGTTTGGAATCTTTTTTAAAGGAATGTTTGGAATCTTATTTACACATATATATATATATATATATATATGTGTAAATATATGTATATTTTTACATATATATATATATATATATATATATATATATATATATATATATATATATATATATATATATATATATATATATATATATATATATATATATATATAGGCTTCGGCAGGAATGACGGGCTACAGCCCGTGTCCGTCTCTGCACCCGTCTAAGTCAGTTTAGACGGGCGAAATAAAGCCCGTCTGAAACATAAGTTTTGTGTAAAAAAAAAAATGAATATTTTGATGTTTTTTTATTAAGATACTCTTTTAAAACTTCTCTCATGACATAGTTTTAATATCGATAGCAAACTCCAACTTATAATTGTTTATATTTAAATATAAAAATTAATCAATTTAATCATTATTGTATAACATGATGTAGAAAATAATATAACTAAATCTTACAGTTTTTTAAACGACGATAACTGTTTGATATAATACCAAACAGTTACCATATCATGTTCAAAATTTAATAACTATTATATTAAAAAAGGGAAATATACACATGTGATGCACAAGAAGTATCATGTTGTTTTGGTTTTTCAATGTTTATAATAATAACGATAATAAACTAATTATCCATGTATTTCGCTTTTTTCCGATAAACTAGTTTGTCTTACTTTAAAGACATTTAAAGTGATATTTCCGCGTTAACTTCACGTTTTTTCTTAAAGAGACGGCAGTTTATTTAATATGCAATTATATAACTCGTTATTGAAAATGAAATATCTCATTAAAAATCAACAAACGTCTAATCAATTTTTGTAGATAATATAAATAGTGTTGCTTTACAGTTATGAAGTTATTCAAGTTATCCAGTCATTCAAGTTTTTCAAGTTATTCAAGTTTTTCAGTAAAGATAGTAATAGCATCATCTGGTAGAAGAGTTACATTAGCAACCTTTTTGAGTTGGGGTTATGATGGAGTCTGTGGAAAAGAAATTGAGGTGGAGAATGGAACAATTTTTGTTGTGAAGATATGGTGTATGGTTTGTATAAAATATAAAAAAGAATTGCTTCGCGAGTTAAAAGGTCTGGCAAAATCAAAAGCATTAGCATTTATAGAGGGCACTACGAACGTTAAAGCTAGCAACATACATACGCTTATATACATGCTTATATTGTATATAAAGTAACGGAAGCCCCGGTATCTTAAGAAATTATTAGTACTTCTAAATAAAAACTTATTTTTGTAAAAGAAATTAGATTTCAAATTTTTTATTCACGTATCAGAATAACTATTTCCGATCAGGATAGGCATAGGTAAAGCAAAGTTATAAAAATATAAATAACAGTTTAAGTTTTTAATTTGCACGCCCAATAGAATGCAAGAGTATATAAATAATTGAATTTGAAAAATAACATAGTTACGTATTATATTACCAAGCTAATACCAAACAATTCTAAAACTATCGAGCTCATTGATTCAAGGTTACAAAAAAAAAAGATTTCAAACTATTTGCTGAATAATTAAAAAAATTAGATTTTGAAAATATTATGTAATATTTTTATTCACAAAGAATAAGAGAAACGAATGAACTAAAAAAGCACGATAAAAACCTGTATAATTTAATCGAATACTTGAATAAAACAATAATATATAAATATACTCAAAAAGACTTTAAAAAAACACGTTAGGATGCTTGAATAAGGAAACGTGATGAAACGCCATGATTGTTTCGAGGATTTTTCCCGTCGTTTTCACGTTCATTCGTTTGACTATATCTGCCAGATATTATCTGGAATAAAGATTAAAAAAAAAAAAACATAAAAAACTGAATAAAGTTCCTTCGAGTAAGAAATCTAAACAAAAGCAACCATAAAACAACTAACCCACGTGAAACGAAATTAGATCTGTGCAAGTGAAAACTTTAAAAAACAATTATTGAAATCTTAGTTTTAAGTATTATCCAACTCATTTACTGCAGTGTTTTAATTACTTAAGTAATTAAGCATTTTAAACAGTTAATCGCTTTCTAACATATTATTTTAGTGCAATTCACAAAATGTTTAATATTCAATGACATTTTCATTCAAAAAGAAGAAGAGAAATTAACAAATTAAAAAAAAAAAAAGTTCAAACTTTAGAATTTTTTTTAAAGTTTAAAAAAGCCCGTGCAAGACCATCTAGACGGGCGGCCCTCATAGCCCGCCAAGTCTATTTAAGACGGGCTTTTCATAGCCCGTACGGTTTTTATTCCTGCCGAAGCCTGTATATATATATATATATATATATATATATATATATATATATATATATATATATATATATATATATATATATATATATATATATATATATATATATATATATATATATATATATGTAGAGTTCTATGGTCAGCTACGCAACGAGCGCAACATGTTTTTAAAAATTTAACTGACTCATTATGTTATAATTTTTAATTTTTTTTTACGTTTACACTCAAATTATCCTTTTTTATTATTATTCACAAAAAAAAAAAGGATAAGAAGACAATTTGAGTAAAATAGAAATAAAAGACAGCGGTCAGCTACGCAACGCGCAAAAAAGCTTGTTTTTTTAATTTAAAGTTTGAATTATTTTTTCTTCGAATCTATAATTTATTTTTTTATAAAAATGTTTTTTTCTTTAAAAACAATTATTTCATTGAAGTTATATTTATAAAAAATTTTTAATATAATATTAATTACACGTCAAATAAAAAGTTTTCAAAAAACTATGCGGTCAACTACGCAACAATCAGCCACGCAACATGCGAATTTTTATTATAATTCAAATTAAAACCCAAAACAAATCTAAAACTATATTTATAGCTTGTATTTAGAAACAATAAAATTTATTTATAAAGTTTGTAAAGATAATTTTACATTAAAAGAAACCTGGACCCCGGGGTAGAAAAGGGGAAGAGGGCTTTAGAAGCTTCAGTGCTCTCACTTTTTTAAATAATGGGGCTAGGGGGTAGGTAATACAATTTCCTTTTAAATGTACTCTTGATATTTTTATCTGTTCACAACCTTATTATATAAACGTTTTTAACTGGAAGATGTATATAAATACATTCATTTTACTTGCATTTACTTTGGAACTTTAATCTTCAGAGCTTTAAAAGCATCAAGTATTTGGACAATAATTGAACAACTAAAATAATTTAAAAAGCAACAACTAAAAGTTCTTTAAACGTGTAAGCTGTTGTTGTTGATCGAAATGTATTAGGGATAAACTGAATAAACCTTCCGAGCTTAGTTGCGCAAAAAAAGTCACCCCAAGAAAACTTGAAAAGTATTGAAAAAAATAAGTAAGACTTTCGATAGAATAACAATAACAGGTAAAAAAAAACGTTTTAAGAAATCATGCAGTCAGCTACGCAACAATCAGCTACGCAAAACAAAACAAATCTAATATTTATTTATGGCTTTTATTGATGCCAAAATATATTTATTTTTAAATTGTGATATTGTGATATTATTAACTTCTGTAATATTGTCTGATAGAAGCTCGATAATTTTATTTATGTTTGGAACAACAGGTAATTTTGTATGATCGCTTGAATCACAAACTAGCGCAAAAGATTTAATTTGACGATGCCAAACTGCAGATGTAAATATAGAAATGTGATTTTGACTGAAATGAGCTGCTTGCGTTTCGTTTTGGTAAATACAAGTATAATTTTCTGCCCAGTCAACTTGAATAACAGCCTTATTTGAGTCTTTTTGAATCGTTGATTCTATATTAAATTTAAATACGGACGATTGACTGCTCTTGTCATTACAATGAATAATAAACTTTGCACGCATTTCTTTAATATGTGATAATAAAACTGCAATTGTTCCTTCTTTTTTAACCTTTTCTATTTTGATATACGATTTTGCTTGAGGTTTCTGCCACTGATTCCATGAAACATCTAACTCAAATTGTTCGAACTGAAGTAATAATTTATCAAACATATTACAAACAGTACATTCTTTGCAAACGACATTGAAGCATTGTTTTGTTAGTTTTTCACAAATAAAGTTTAGAATCATAGAGTTTCTCGTTTTAATTGTAGTGAATATATCCAAACCCCGCGAAAGTGATTCAAGAGCATAACGCATATTTTCATGTAACATGCAAACGCACACGTTATGAGGAATTGATGATACACATCGAACGTAAATTGGTCTCAACTGACAAAATTTTGACAGGCTTAATTTAATATCTGCATTGTTTAGCTTAAACTCTTCGAAAGCTTCTTTTAGCGTATATAACATGTGTCGAATTTGAACACGCACCTTTTTTTCTCCTATCACTACAGAAGTATAATCTGCTGTTCTTGGGGATATTCGACTTATTTCATCGTCGCAATAAAAATTTTGTATAACCACTAAGTCTTTTTCTCGGAGACTGTTTGTTGATTTAGGAATTGAGTAAGTTAATGGTTGAGTTTCATTGAGTAAACAACACAACAGTTCCTTTTTCTGAACAAGACTTTTGGGAAGAAAGCGATTCAATTTTTTTATATACTTTCCTTTAACTTGCACATTTGCAAATGATGAGTGATTTGATTCGAGAGATAAAGATGCGTCTTTTTGCCGCAGTCGAAATTTTCTCATTCTTTCTAAACTTTTTAATCTTTCAGCTGCAATTTTTCGAAAATCTTTTTTCCATCTTTGTCTTCGAAGTCTAGCATTTTCTTTAGCTTTGAATTTCTTTTCTTCATGATTTCTACTCATGTAATTCTTTTGATTCATTGCTTTTTTATTTTTTATCTTTATGGCTGTAATAAAAAAAGTAAACATTCAAATAAATGTAAAAATTACTTAAAAACTCTATAAAAACACAATGCTCACCTTTTTTATTTTCATTGGATGCACAAGATGGATTATACTTTTCACAAATGTAACACACAAAAATTCGTGATTAAAAATTGTCTAAGTGATAAAAAAAATGTTCAACTCTTACTTTTTAGTTTTACAAAAAATTTGTCTAAACCAGAGTTGTTAACAAGGCCAAAAGTAGCAAGGCCAAGACCAAGGCCAAAAGTTTAAATGTCAAGGCCAAAATTAGAAGATTCAAGGCCAAGGCCTACGCAAACATTTTCACGTTAGGGCCAATTATTAACAAAACTGCAAGTAGCAAATGATGTGTCAATAAAATACATTTTGTAAAAACAAACCAAGGTTATGCGCATAGTTCAACGATGTCAATAAGATAATTTTTTTTTTTTAAGGCCAAGCCCAAAACAATTAAGGCCAATACCAAAGTTAAGGCCTCAATTTTTGGCCTCAAGGCAAGGCCTAGAACTAACAACTCTGGCCTAAACTCATTGCAAACCAACATCATAAAATTTTTAAATCCCTCCTAAATTTCCTGATATTTATTTATGATTTATGGTTTAACAAATATTATACCCAAAGGCTTTTTTCTTTATAGTAAAAACTAACATATGTTACAAATTTAGTACTATTTTTAGCTTCAGAATGTCTGTATGGTAGCATTCGTTTATGATATCGCTAACCGGGATTCATATGAAAGCTTACCTTCCTGGGAAAAAAAAGTGGAATCACAAAACCCTAACTTTATTGGTACGTTAAAAATTTTTATTAACAACTCTAAAGCTCAATAGACTATAATTGCATATTAATTTTGTAATAACAAAATTATTACAAAATTAATATGCAATTCTGCTAACAACTTTAATATACTTTGACTTGTTTAACAAAATTAATATTATGTTCTATTAACAACTAGAAGGTTCAGTTATTACTTTGACTCGTTTAACTAATATTATTAAAAAATTAATTTTAAATTAGTATGTAAGTATTTTAATATAGTTTAAAACTTTTTAAATAGTTTTCTTCATAAATAAAAGTTGTATTAATGTTAAAGTTATAAATATACTTTGTAAAGATATAATGATCAATTCTTTGCAGGCGTAATCATTGCTAACAAATCTGATTTAACTGATCGATCAGAAGTTTCAGCTGAAGAAGGCGAACTTATGTCACACAAGTTAAATATGCCTATTTTTCATTGCTCAGCGGTAATTACACTTTAATAAATTATCTAGTGATACTTAAACAGCAGTCCTCAGAATGCTGCTAAGTATTTTTGGGCAAATAATATAGGTCTGCAAGTTACATTTTTTATGCTTGCAACCCAAAAAAATTAAAGGCGAATGTGTTTAGGATAAAGCTTTTTCATTTTAAATTATAAATTTGTGTTATTTTTTTTAGAAAGACAATGATAACATCGAGACACCGTTCCTTCATTTAGCTAAGCTGTTTTACGAGAACGAATCAAAAAAATCGTTTTGAGTCTGATTTGATACATTAATTTTTATTATATATGTAACGAGTTAAATATTTGTTTTTTAATCTAATAAAAATCTCTTTTGATCGACTCTTATCGCTAAATTCAAATTTTTTTTGTTAAGGTTCCATCGTGTCTAAATGCTTCGCTCAGTAATATGATAATATGTAATATATTATGCTTTTTAGTGTCTATGTGTTTTATTTATAGAAATTTTAAATAAAATATTAAATTTATTTATAAATATGATTGTAAATAAATATTGTAACAGTGAATTTTATTTTATACTATATTAAATACTATGCAATAGAAATAAAGATTTTATCTTCTTAAGAATACTAATGAGAAACCTTAGCAGATCATATCACTATTTTATAAATATATATATATATATATATATATATATATATATATATATATATATATATATATATATATAAATATATATATATATATATATATATATATATATATATATATATATATATATATATATATATATATATATATATATATATGTGTGTGCGTGAGTGTGTGTGTGTGTGTGAGAGAGAGTCTTGTTTTGTTTATACATATTGTGCTCCCACCGATAAACATTCGTTTTTAATAAAAAAAAACTTTTAACTTTTGATACCACCAAGATTTTTTTTAAATAGTTGATGTTTAAATAAATTTCTTGGAAGTAAACAGTTTGTTTATATTTGATACTCCCTCTGTTCCGATTTGCATTCAACGTAAAGAATTATTGAAAATAAATTATGTTTTTAACTAAACATATTTTTTATATAAAATGTAGATGTTTTTTTATGTTGTAAACAATTTATTACGGTATTATATAATACCATCACAACATTAATTTCTAAAAAGGATATTTTTTTATGAAATATTTTGTTCCAAAATACTGTTCCGATTCGTTAAAAATGAAATTCAAACTTGAAAATTTATTAACATTTTATCGTTTTTAGTAGAAAAAAAAAACAACTTTTTAAAGTTTCTTAACTAGTATAAGTTTTTAAAAATTCTTAAGTAATAAATTATTTAATAGTGGCTAAAACCATTTACTTTACGCTCAATAGATGACTTTATTGTTTTTAATTCTGTAACAAATCAAGTCAGCTGTTTAATTTGGTTCTAGGAAAAAATCCCCCAGAAAATAACCCCCAAAAAAAAATTTTTTTATTTTACTTAAAAACTATCAATATGTAGTTTTGTTTATTTCTTTATTTATTTTAAATATTTATATAAAATTTTTCATCAAAATGTCAAGTTATGGGCTATTCCTCGAAGGTAGCGAATGTGAAACCCTAACCCTAAAGAGCTGCAAACTGGTAAAATGGGAACTTTATTGCGAACCATCGTAGTTAATTTAGCGGCATATTTTGAGGACTTTCAAGCGAAAAAATTATTTAAAAAAAAAATAAAAGGAAATTAAGTGAAACTAGACGAATATAATATGAATATATATATATATATATATATATATATATATATATATATATATATATATATATATATATATATATATATATATATATATATATATATATATATATTAATTAATTGATAGACTGCCTACCCAAACCAAATCCTCAGCCGATGTAGCAGCACTCCGTTGCGAGTCAGGCTATAAAATAGTCGATGTAGCAACACTCCGCGCATGTTTTACATTTAAAAAATAAAATTTTTATTTTAAATAAAGCTTTGAATAGATAATTAAGAATTGGAAAGTTTTTTTTTATTATTATTTTTATCATAAAAATAATGGTCTTTAAAATATGTTTTGCTTTGCAAAAAAGTTCGCATTCTACCGGTTCGCGGTTCGCAGTTCGCATTTTACCGATAAATAAATAAATATAACTATTTTATTCAGAATTTTTAATTTTTTTTTAAAAAACTTTTTGAGGGGAAGGGGGGGGGGGGTGCGGGGAGGATATTTTCCCGGGGGATTTTTTCCTAAGAGATAGACGTGCAATCTTTTGTTTTAAATCAAAGAAACCGCCAAAATCAGTGAGCCATGCACTTATCAAAATATTCCGTCATTAGCAAAAAAGTATTAAAAATGGCTGCCAATCAAAGATTTTTAGTAAGGATTTAATAGACAATATACTAGACAAAGATTTATTATTGTTTAAAAAAATAATTCAATCCTTGCGGCTTTTGGTGAAAATGAAAGTCAAAAATCAGTATTTGCGTACTTTTGAAGCATGATATTTAGACAGACTAAATTATTTATTTTCCCTTTTTAAATATTTTTAGTTCTAAACTAGCTAACAAACTATAATCCGGTAAAATTTCTTTAAAAAAGTATATAGTCTTTCAAGCATAAAAGTGTTTTCGATACCATTTCGTCAATATTTCTAAAAAAATTTGACAAACTTTCCAATATCTACAAGTCCAACATCTATAGTCCAATATATATAGAACTTAAGATCAAAGTCCAATAAATCTATAGAACCTAAAAGTTTTTGGAAATTTTTTTTTGCAGGTTTTCCTTCAAGTATGAATAGCATCAACACACTACAAATATAGCAAATTTGGAGAGGGTCACTATTGGGCTCAGCCTGATTCAAAAAGAAAGTTGCTCTTAAGTTTCTGAATTAAGAAACACAAATACCGAACCGGTCATAAATTGCATTTCAAGATATTTTATAAGAGTTTTGAAATTGTTTTTCATGAACCTAAGCCATTTGCGGTATTATATGACGCAGCATAAAATTTAGTGGTCAGGAATCGGTAAATTTATCCTAGCTGACGTATAGATTTTCGTTTACTTATAGCTTTATATTATAGTGTTATATTGTTACGTAGCACTAACTTTGATAAATTAAAAAAAAATCGAATAAAAAGCAAAAAAATACCTGCAAGATTATATTTGATGCGTAAAGAACTCATCGCAAACCTATTATACGGGAACTCTTTTAATGTCAACAAACTTATAGAAGACTAGGTTTTACTATTTATGTTTAAAACAAAGCGTGGACTTTCTCCAGCCTGCTGAATTTTTAATTTAATACATTGTTGTTTAAAAATATAACTAAAAGCTAAGTTCTTATCAAACTCAATATGGCGATCTGTTTTTATGAAAAAATAAGTTTCAAGATTTTATACGAAAAAAATACTACCTAATATCTCTTTGGAGCAGTTCAGGATCTTAGAATCTTTTAATACAAAAAAAACTATGACTTTAAATATCTCATAAAATAAATACGTAAATACGCATTTATTTTTGATTATTATGGTTTAGATTGATCTGATGGAACCATCAAATCAATCTAAACCGTGAGTTCTGACTGGAACTGATTATTTAGTATATTGGCAATAAATGCTTAGTCGCCGCTTATATCCCCAGAGGGTGTGCACATAGAAGTTATTTGATTGAAACGGCATGTTTGCTTTTTACATAAGCGTAGAGACGTTTAGAGTTCCATTTATTGTTGGATATTTTGTGTTTGAATTCTCTAATCCCATTGCAGGAAGCTTTTTTGCGGAGGTTTCGAGTGACATTGTACTCTCTGACAAGACGAGCGAATTGCCATTTGCTGTTGCGTTTGAGGTACCAAATGTTTTTGAATAGACCATTGGCTTGGATGAAGGTGGGATCAATAATATGTTAGTGCAGTATTGAATAGGATTTAGGCAACTTTTGTGCCTAAACTAGTTCCGGTGCCAGTAGTATTGATCCAGTGATCATACCATTTGACGTCTGGGAAATTAGAGTCAACGCTGATTATTATTTTTAATTTTTTTTCTATTTTTTTTTATTTTAAGTGCGCCAAGAAGTCCTTACGGTCTTATCATAGAGCACCGCGGAAGAGCATTTGAAAGGAAGCTTTCGCCTCATTCCTTACCGATGTTATAAAACTTGCCCAGAGGTGGCGTTAAACCACGGATCTCTAACTTCTGAAGCAAGCGAGCTAACCACTGCGTTACGGTTGCTTTGCTATTATACCAATGAAGTTTTTGTCAACCATGTCCGTTTTTCCTACTTTATCGAAGAATTGTTCGATGGTGGGGAATAGATGCAGCCGATTAAGAGAGAATCTTAGAAAAGTATGAGTTCGAGTCAGAGCGTTTTCGAGATTTTTCATTGAAAATTGTCGTGTAATTGAGAATGATCAACTTCACTGGCGTTGATATTGCTTTTACAATAAATGGCTACGCCTTTTCCGCGACCGCAGGAATCTTTTCTATAGATATTGGAAGAGCAGGTGCTGAGGATTTATCAAAACAAATTTCAGTGGTAAAAATGATGTTGTAGCTGTATACACCCCAATACACCCCAATATGAAGTATGAAGTTTATTCATACTTCATATTTCAGTTTATTAATATATATTTTTTTTATTCGTATGCTCCTTTTATTAATTCTTTTCTTCCATATTGACAACGGAGTGTGCAAAAGTTCTTATTTCTAACTACTTAAGAAGAAAATTGTGGCAGAGAATTAAAGATAATTAAGAGAAATTTAAACAGCCTTTTGCTGAAGTATCAAGAGAATCTGGTTTGGAGCAATACCGGATCACCTTAGCAGAATTGGTTTAATTTATTTTATACAAATACAAAATATCTAGATATAATATCATAGATATAAACGTACTATATTTATTAATTAATATAGGCAACACCTGCAACAATTTTATTATATGATCAAAAGTGTTATCTTATATACAAATGAATCATAGCGATAACTAAGTCTCTTAAAAGTTTTTTTGTTAATTCTAAAAATATTAATAAAAATGTAATGGAACGCCTACGTAATGCACTGTAATGTGGCAGTGCGTTGTACTACCCACTGTTTATTTGTTCAATAATTTTTTCCCCCAATAATAACAATTATAAAAACGGAAATTTAACGAAGAAACTTAAGAACACTGTTTTTAGCCTTTTCAACCTCACTCTCAATTCTCTCTGAAAATCTTCTGAGCTCATTTTGAACACGTGAAACTTCATCTGTATCCAGTCTTTCAGAAAAGTTTGTTAATTCATTTTTAAAAATATTTTTAAATCTTTCAACTTCTTTAAGAGCTTTGTTTTTAACATCATGTTTTTCTAATAATTCTTTGTATAAATTTAAAGCAGGTTCGTCGAATAGAAAGTCTAAGTTTTGAACCAGAAATTTTAAATTTATAAAATCAGAATAATTGTTACTATTCGTATTTGCTAAAATATTATCTAAGTTTTCTAACTTTTCCTGTAAATCATCACATACAGCGATAACCTGAGTAACATTTGATGGAATATATTTGTCAATATCTTTTGAAATTAACATTATTTTTAATTTTACATCTTCTTTTACTGCAGGCTCTATATATTCAATGACATTGATTTTGCTAATAAAAAAATAAGCGAGGTATTCATTTTCAAACGCCTTGTGAGTCTGAAGTAACAAATAAAGGATTGCTTCTTTAGTTGTGTAGCAATTTTCCTTCCACATTTGATGATCTGGTGGAAATTCTTCGCATGCTTTTAACATAATATTTTTTGAAATAAAAGAATGAATTTGCGTGGCATTGATAGGTTTAATCCATTTATAAAATATTGATTTAAAGATGAGGTATACCAAGTTTTGCTGTGGACTACGCATGCTAATTAGCTTACGTTCAATATGTGAAAATGAATACCGCCAGCTGTACGATTCCTCGTCACCTTTTTCTATAACTGACGGTTTAGCTATGATGAAACATGTTTTAGTAAGATCTTCAATAAACTGTTTGTCAGGCCAGTTTCTTTCTCTGAGTTTCCATTCTAACGCAATATCTGGCCACCAGAAAACTTGAGCTAAAGGAACTAAATCATAGGCCACAACTAACATATTTTTTTCTTTAACTTGAAAATAGAACTCAAAGGCAGCCGAAGCATTTGTAACTCTTTCAACTTTTTTGATGGAAATATCAGAAATTTTTTCATTAAATGCGGCTGCAAAAATAATTTCAAGATATTTTTGGTTTTCAACATCGTTGTCAAGTAGAGCTTTTTGAAGAGTTAAATTTTTAAGTTTAAATGGCTGAAAATATCCATTGTTAGAAAAATTTTGTAATAACTCGTTAAAATCTTTATCGGTGATATCCCATCCAGCATTTGCATTAATTAACATATTTGTATCTGCGCGAACTTTTACATAACCGTGTTTTTCAGGAATATCTTCTACATAATGTTTAAATTCACTTTTTATTTCTACTAAAGTAAATTCTATATCAAACTCAAGTTCTCTGTTTATCCCATCATCAAAATTATTGTTATATTTAAAAAAACGAGAAGTTGTTGCTCCCTCACAAATACTGCCGCTCATTATTATGTTTTGCAGTGCGTTTGGTTGGCATCTACATACACCTCTCGATAATATTTTATTTACAAGCGAGCTACCCATATCTCTGAGCTTTTCGTCAGCATCTTTTAAACGTATAAAGTCTTCAATTTTTCCAATAAAACTAGAATCTATAACATGTAATTAAAACAACAAGTAAATATATTATAGCAATTTTTTGTTGTTAGCGAAAAAACCATGTATCCTGAGGGTAGATCATTCTAAGGATACTAGGTTAATTTGTAAACAAAAATAAAATAAAAGTAGTATTCAAATAATAAAAAATAATCTTCTTAACTTTCATACAAAAAGTTGAAGAAAAAAATTTGAAAAAGTTCTTAAAGCATATAACTTGTTTCTCCTCGCAGCGGCGTTATTCTTCACAGGCTCGTATTTCGGAGTAAAAAAGTTACGCAAAGTTTAAAACAACTAATAATAAAAAAAATCCTTCAAAGTAGCTTCCTCGACTGTAGCGGTGCCTATGGCTGAAGGAAGGTGAATACAGTGAAACAAAAAAGAGAGAATGTTTAGAAGAGTGTGCAGAAATATAAGTAGGGTAGAGCGGGGCATATCGGGGCAGCAGGGCATAACGGGACAGTTATAAATGAAGACTTATATCTCAGCTAAAAATTATTTTTATCCAAAATTTTTTTTGGTAAAACATTTTAAACTATTGTTATTCATTATTGTAAAAAAAAAATTAATTTTAGAAATATCAAAATGCATTAAAAGTACCGAAATGCATCAGTAAGTTTGCAAAAAAACAAAATTTTCGTATTTTCTTTAGCGATACAGTCACAAAAGATTTATCTTAGACTATTGCGAATTTACTTTATTTATAAATAGTTTATAATTTTAAGACAGTATTTTTTATTCTCTTTTAGAATCTGGTTTTAAAAAAATATTTGTAATTGAACTTTTTTTTGAATAGTAGAATAAAATGGGGTAAAACTGAACACTTGTATTTATAATTAATTTTTTTTATATGATAAAATGATTTTTTAATAATTTTTGTTGAGAAAAATGAGCTCTATCAGAATATGTTGAAAAAGAAAAAAAATATCTTAAGTTTTTTAGTAAAATAAGTTTATTTGAAAAAAAGTTTATTAGTAAAATAAGTTTATTTGAAAAAAAAAGTATTCAGTTTTACCTGACAATTCGGGTAAAACTGAACGTGTCAAAGTATTGGTAATTATTATTTTAATTTTTCTAAATTGATTTAGATCTGTACAGGAAGTTGTAAAAAGTAAATTATAGCAAAGATTTGTAAAGGAAAGTTTGCTTTTTAAAATATAAGATAAGTTTGAAAAATATTAGCGTTCAGTTTTACTTGAAAGTATGACTTTTTCAGTGATTCAGTTATAGCTGTTTTTAGAAAATAACAATTTTATTTCTGAAAAAAAGATTCTTGATCAGCATAACTTTACTACAAATCTTTTTACTTTAATGTTATTTCCTTTTTTTTCCGAGATTTTTACGACAGTATAATTATAAAATTAAAAAAAATTAATATTCATGTTTAAATTTTGAGTTGCTACAAAAATAATAAATGTAAATTTTTTTTATTTTATGTCATTAGATAGAGCACAAAATTATCTATATTATAGAACTAAAATAATTTTGTTTAAAATTAAATTTAGTCAAAATTATTAACATTTTCAGTTCTAGTTCTACCCTATTTTACTCTATTATTTTCAGGATAATGACTTTTGTTGGACATATCGGGACAACAAGTTATTTATATAATTGAGTATATTACTATTTTGTGATGCTGAGTACGGTTTGATATTTTTATTTTTAATCTAGAATATTATTATTTTTTATTTAGAAAATCAATTTATTCAAAGAAATTCTTATTTTTATAACTTAACTTCGATTATTAATAGTGTTTAATGATGTAAACAAAGAAGTTAAGAAATTATATAAGTAAAATGAATCATCCAAAACGGGATAAAATGCAGTTTTAGCTTTTAAAAAGAAACTTTTCAGAATTAGAAAAGCTACTAATACAAATGGATTGCTCTACATTGGCATATTGCTAATAAGCCAGCTCATCAAAAATGTTACCGATTTGTTTCAGTATATTTTTTGCGTGATTTATGTGATCCATAAAATATTTTGTTTAATATCAAATTTAGTAATAGTTACCAATTTAATAATATATAGGCTATAGTGGAGCGGAGGTGTTTTATAATAAAACACACACAAAAAAAGTTTGTTTTAGCTGTTATTTCTTTTTTGTTGTATATGGGTATATGGGCGTATATTTTCTATGGATATGTTACTTTTTTAAGAGTTTAATGTCTGAACATGTTTAGGCGGTAGATAGCCTTCACTTTTTATCATTTTTAAAGCTTTACAATTGACGAATAACAGCTGTTTTTTAACTGTCCCGGTTTACCTCGCCCACTTGCAAAATGTAAAAGTTTTGCTAGTCTAGAGTTTCGTTACTTTGGTTGTCGTAACTTATTTTTAGAGATTTTTTTTTTATTTTTTCATTTTTTTATGTGAATTAATTTTAGGAAATTGATAAAAAGCAGGGTTAAATATGATTAGTTTATCTGCAACTAACATTTGTTTCTTATGTGCCCCTATATGCCCCGCTCTACCCTACAAAAAAAGCATCTACTGTTTTCTGTAAGAAACATATTTAGTATTCATTATTATTCTAAGTTCTAAATTATTATTTATTTTCATTCTTCTATTGTTAAACCATTTTGTTATTCTTTAGAATAAAATTACTAGTTATTACCATCAACTGTTTCCATCTTCTTTATATTTTCAGTAGTTTTAATAATTCATACCAAAACTCTCTAAAAAAAATATTATTTGTTTTTAAATTGCTAATAAATAAATTTATTAGCAATTTTTTTTTTAATTTAAAAGAAACTTGTTTATAAGAAACTTAGAAGCTTTACTAGAAGCGTTAAAATCTCAAGAAAGATTTAGTTTGAAAAGTTACTTTTCAATAAGAGTAAGTTTTTCAGCAACATATCACATTAACATGTAAGAGTTTCTTAAGAAACTTTTGGGAAACTTCTAAAAACAAGAGCCTTAAAATTAGTACTCGCCTAATTGTTTCTTAGTTTCTTATTATTTTTTAAGAAACTCTTAACTTTTAGTGCTAGATTGGAAAGTAGAATTGGAATATCCTTAAAATTAGTATTAACTATTATATTGTTTATTATTATTTGTTGTTCTATTGTTTGTTATTCTATTGTTTGCAAACTTTATTTGTTCCAATTATTGTGCAAAAAAAGGAAAATGAGATTATTGCGTTTACTTATGAAGGTGGACTCTTACCTGGACAGATTAAAAATGCAAACAAAAATAATGCTTATATCAAGCGAATAGTAAAAACATTAAAAGCATGGAAGTGGTCTGACACACAAGCAGATATTTTCCATGAATGAGATAATATTTTGTTTCACATCAAAAAAACCCAAAAAATTTCTAAAATTAGGGAACTTTAAAAAATACCTCAGTTAGACTTTTATTGAGACTCTTGAAGTGTATTTGTTAGTTTTTGTTTTATATTAAATAAAAAAAAAAAAACTAGTTTTGTTAAAAATGAAATTGCCAACAAAAAAAAAATAATGTTTAATATTAGTTCTTAATATGGTGTTATTTTTAATATTATGTTATATTATTTTATTATTCTTTTATGTAATATTATGTAATATTATTTTATTATTCTTTTATCTTAGCATGTTAAATGTTTAATTAACTAAAATTATAGAGATCTTGAACAAATAATTGATCTTTTATTTTTTAATTTAGTTCACTTTAAAGTTTCCGATTCGTGCAATTTGTAAAGTTTTTTAAATATTTGTAATAATGTGCAAAGTTAGCCAAATCCCCGGTACCCCGGTTACCCCGGTTGTTAGTCCCCAAATCCCCAAAGTTAGCCAAATCCCCGGTATGTTAGCACTTATCGTAAACTTTTTACTTATTTTCTATATAGAAAATTAAAAAAACGCTGTTAAAATAGTTTTTAAATAGTTATAGATAATTTTAGGCAAGTTTTTATCATCACTTAAGATGTTTTGAAAATTCGCAGATGTTTTGGAAATGCTCTACAGAGAATATTTTTTATTTTAGCTTTCGAATTGTGGCAACAGTGCCATCGTTGTTGTCTGCTGCAACTTTCATTTGCACGTTGTACGCTCAATGTCCACGCCAAAATACTGATAAAATTTTTTTAATAAAATTTTTTTTTAATAAAAAACAAAAATCGCTTAAAAAATCTTATAACCACGCTCATACGACTAAAAAAAAATCAATTGTCAAAATAAATTTCATAAAATATGGAATGAGATCCAAGAAAAGCAAGATTTGGAGGCGGGACTGATCTTCCTTATAATTATTATGGAACTCATCTAGACTCTCAAGGTATTTAAACTCATTTTTAATAGAAAATCTTTATCAAAATACATTATATATATATATATATATATACATATATATATATATATATATATATATATATATATATATATATATATATATATATATATATATATATATATATATATATATTTTATCAAAATCCATTATATATATATATATATATATATATATATATATATATATATATATATATATATATATATATATATATATATATATATATATATACATAATTTACTGAAAGAATATTTAACTGCAGGTGGTGGGGGAGGGGTCAAAGATTGCCTAAATAATAATGACGTCCTTTACGCACGGCTTTACAAGTTTTTATTTTTTACTCAAAAATATTAAGTTGAATATTAAAATTTGTAGAAAAGTTTATTTTTCAGGAAAAAAAAAAAATCTGTTACGTATCTTGTAAATACAATTACGGTCTTTGTTTGACAAAATGCTAAATATAAAGTATAAAAAGTTAAAAAATAATACAAATCAAAAACAAAGATTTTTAATATATATTTTACCATCGCTATTTTACTAATTATAAGTGAAGCGTGAATCTGCGATAACTATTCAAGTCATCAATGTTTCATTTCATTTACAAATCATCAATGAAGTAAAGCGTGATTTGTAATAATAAAACCAATGTTTTTCTAGCAACTATTATCTATTTACTTAAGCCTATTTAATTTAAGTAACGTGGTTAGAGATTTTAATAATTTCATCAAACAAAACGCTGAACAATATAAGTTCTCAACTGAAAGTTCGTGGAATTCTTAGAAAACATATATTCTCAGAAATGCTTTTAAATTTTAAAGAAAAAATCTTTTATAACAGAAGAACTAATATTTACATATAACGTTATAACTATCGTCATGATAGTTATAACGTTATATGTAACGTTATATGTAACCATTGCATCAACTCAGTCGTGATGCAATGGTTAGAGTTCTGACTCAAAAGCAAGAGGTTTGTGGTTCGATTACGGATCTAGCTTAATAAAAGACATTGGTAAGGAAGTAGGCTTGAACTTCCCGGTTGAGTGCTGCTCCGTGGTGCTCTGTGACAAGACCGATAGGTCTTCTTTGAGCACCTTAATAACAACAACAAAAAAATGATAACACAAAAATGATAACACGCCAAATTAAAACATTTTTAAGCCTGGGGCTAATAATATAGGAAGAAATAATGCCACGGTCACCTAAAAATGGCGAGTGGGAACGAGGCAATACGAGACAAGGGGTCTTGATCACCTTTTTGATTTGATCAATCATTTCGGTTAGCTCCTGACTTCAATTCTATTACTTGTTTTTGTCTTTTTGGAATAGATAATTTTTTTAAATGTTCAACCTAGTCGATATCTTCTGAAAAAAAATTTTTCCGGACATTTTTTTTGCTTATAGTTTTGATATTTTCACGTTGCAATCAATTTCAACAAATTTTCAAGGTTCATGTATCTTTCTTTAGTTTTTGAAGGTTGCTACATTTGGGAAAGTAGTTTTTGTTTTATTTTTATGGAGTTACATGCTAATAGAAATTGATCTCAAACTACCTCAGCGGCATCTGAAAAACACAATATTTACCTTTTTTTCTAATTTAGTATAAAAACTTACAGTACTTCTTACAAAACTTACAGTACTTTCTTACAGTAATTTCTTCTTAGTTTTGATATTTGCTCGTAAAAATGTAACTTTCATACGTAATATTCTTTCTTTGTCCGAAAAATTGAACAAGATTTTCCCAAATGACATTGTGTTGATCGTTATCGGTTTCTTAAAGAGTTTTGTATATTTCAAAAAAAGAAATTAGTACTGTTAAATGCAGTACTAATTCCTTTTTTTTTTTGTCATTCTTTTGTAACTCCTACTGCAATTGAATACAACTCAAAATCTTATACAACTAAAAATACACGGTTGATCAATGATCAAATTTTTGCGGTAGCAAAATTTTGATCATTGCTATATCTCTATTCTTTATTATCAAATGAGATATAGCATTATCAAATGCTATATCTCTATTCTTTATTATCAGAGATATAGCATTATCAAATGCTATATCTCTATTCTTTATTTGCAACGCCTTCCCAAGCTCCCAAAAAAGTGATTTTGAAAAGCTGAGAAACACATACGAACTTATAAGGGTTTCCATAAAAAAAAAAAACTTAGGTTCGAAGGTTAAAAATTTTTGAATTAAGTAAATTAAAAATCAATATTTTCATATTTTGGGCATTTTATAAGTATTTTATTTGTACAAAATAGGTTAGAATAGTGGATCCAAATCTAGTTTGTACTAGCTTGTTTAAACATTAATATCAAATAATCAAATCAACGTTGCGAAACCACTAAATTGTGCAAACTAATTTAATACGGCTCTGGTACAGTTATACAACCCAGTTATACAGACATGGAACAAACCCTAAACATTTATAAGTTTATACCTATGTCAAATAAGAATAAGTATACACTTTTATTTGACATACCCAGTGGGCACCGGACCAAAATAAGACGTCTTTTGAACGTTCAAAAGACGTCCAAAACGTGTGTAAGACATTTAAAAAACGTCTTATTTACGTCCGTATCCACTGGGTAAGTATAAATATTTAAATGTTTAGAGCTTGCCCTTCTGCCCCAAACGTGAGAGCAACAAGTTGATACAATATTTTTTGCAGTATTCTTAATTAGAATTATATTCATCGATAAATTTGAGTTTCATAGTATAATCTCTTAGCGTTCAAAAGTTATGACCATATAAAATACTATATAGATTTTTTAAGTTGGTGTATCTCCGTTTATAAACCTTTCTTTAAAAAAAATTAAAAAAAAATTAAAAAAAAAATTAAAAAAATCATGCAACAAGTTGAAATAAGTTTGCAAATATTTTTTAAAATAAGGAATGTTTATTTCCAAATTTTTGCCTCACTTATTCCATAAAAATTACGCAAAATTGGGTATAATTTAAAACAAGATATATCCATTTCTATAAATCAGTTAGTTCTGAAACTTTTGCATTATGTTCCTAAATGATACAAAAAGGTTATAATGCAGAATCATGCATTAACGATGCATAAAACGTTTTAAAAGAAATTTTTAATAGATTTATGAGAATTTTTAACAAAAAAGGCAAGAAAAAAAAACATACTTTGACACAATATTTGTTTGTAATTCAAGTTCGTTAAGTCAAACAATATCAAAAGCACCCAGAAAATTTCGAGTTAGGTTATGATTTCAATCTGAAAATATTAGGTTTTAAAATTTACACATTAGCTAAAAATGACGGTTTGAGAAAAATAAAAAAAACAAACTAACTAAAAGTTCGTTATATAACAAAAGAGAAGCAAAAACCAATTAAAAATCTCAACTGAACTTAAAGCGCATTATAAACTAGAAAGTGTAGTCTAAGTAAGATATTGTTGTTTAGAAGCTGAAATTAGTATAAATTGAAATTTTTTTGTTTAAAAATGCTTTGCTATAGCGTTGCTAAGGTCTTCAAAAACCTATTAAGGACAAAGTGCAAACATTTTTATGTACTTGTTTATTCATTGTTATTAAAAAAAAACATCATAAACATGTTCTACGAGCTAAAAATATCAATATTTAAAAAGCTATTTTTTTTTTAATTTTGAAATTAATGGGAATGTACCACCTTAGTGATCCTATTGATAGTTTATTTGGATTTAAATCTAAAAACTCAAGCGTAAGGACAGGATCGGTTAAAACGGTTAATTAAATTTAAAAAAATTAAAAAACAATTATAAATCTTTAAACTATAATCGATATTGATTTAAACTTTAAATTAATAAATAGTTCAAATCACAAACTATGTAACTTTTTTTTTTTTATATATAATTTTTTATTTTTGCTGTCTATATATACTACAATTCCTTTTCACACAAAAAAAGTTTAACTACAAATATAAATAATAAACAGACAGGGGCTCAAAGAAGGTATAGATCACAAAATACCAAATTAATCTTTTCATATATAAAATGATTACGTTGGTATTTTGTGATCCATATCTGTAGGGGCTCTACAGAGCCTCTACAATAAGATCATAACAACAATAGTAAAATATGGTAAATAAATCAAGTAGAAAATTAAGCTAAAAAATAATAAAAAAGAAGATGTCATATTTAAAAATACAAATAGAGAACAAAGAAGATATATTATTGTCGAATATCGCTAAAAACTTAGTTAAGAAAATACTAAAAGCTTCCTTTGTATTACACATCTCTCCAATTTTTTATATTTAATTTATTCGATATTTTTGTATTTAATTTATTCGATAATTCATTTGTATTAGTAATGGTTAAGTTACGTTTTTTAAATTTGTAAACTTTGGTTGAGTATCCTTAAAAAAATTTTTTATGGTAATGTAGATCGGGAAATGATCGCTTTTATCTATTTTAAAAATGCCTGACTGAAATGACGTTTCTAAGTAATTGTTTATAAGTATGTTATCAATTGCAGTAATTGAAATTTTATTCACCCGAGTAGGTTTATGCTCGCAGTCGGAAATACGTCATACTCTTTGCTGCGAACATCTATTATTTTAGTTGGGGAAAAATAAACTTTCGTTTTGATACGAAAACAATGGCATAACATAAAAGTCTTTAAAATGCACAAGGGTTGTTGTGTCTTTAAGTGATTTATATATATATATATATATATATATATATATATATATATATATATATATATATATATATATATATATATATATATATATATATATATATATATATTTATATATATATATTTATATATATATATATATATATATTGCATACATTAATGGCTTAAGCCAATTATGTGATAGTAACATATTGCACCTTCTAACATCGTGTGCAATCCTGTCCGCTTTCTGTATGCTATCTTTCTAACACGACTTCTTCTGTCTTTTACTCTAACATTCTTCGTTCTTCCTAAACTCACTTTACTCTTGGTCCGTAGAGCAGGTAATGACGCTATTTATTAGCTGAACTTGTCTTTGCGGTCCTTGGTAATGTGGCCTCTGTATGGCAATTAGCTGGAGGAGGATAAACCACAATACCTTTATATATATATATATATATATATATATATATATATATATTTATATATATATATATATATATATATATATATATATATATATATATATATATATATATATATATATATATATATATGTATAGATATATATATATATACATATATATATATATATATATGTATATATATATATATATATATATATATATATATATATATATATATATATATATATATATATATATAAACATATATATATATGTTTTGTAAGATGTTTTTGTTATTTTCAGTCAACTCTGGTGAATAAGATGGTTTTGTTGTTTTAAACGCAGAAGGTAGACAACTTGTGTTTTCAAAACAACAAAACTAGAGCCTAATGTCTTGTGAAAAACTTCCTGCATCTAGGCAAAGCCAAAACATTTATAAGCATCTCATGCTTCATAGTTACCTATAGCCTCGAAGGTACGAAAGTAAAATATTGTAGGACTTTTTAATAAATAATTATAAACGTCATGGTATTGAACTCATGTCCATTCAGTTTGATCATCTTTCCAAGTATTTCCAAGGAACTTCTGTAGACATCGGTTGATTCCAAGGATTGCAATTTTATTTATATCCCTTTCTGCAGCGTTAAAATCT